CAGGTAGGGAAGCAAATCTAAAAATAAAGCCTCTTTTTCCTTGAAAAAAGGTACTCACTGGTAGTCCTTTTTAATCTTCTTCCTTTGTTCCCAGTCAGCTGCTCTTCTAACACAACCTGGATTTGATAAAAGAAAGCTAAAAATGGAGGATAAAACTTTGTTTTTCTGAAAAAAGCATCTTTCATAGAAAAGCTACAACAATTATTCGATTTCAGATGCTCCACCCAGTTGAAAGCTGGAGATGATTGTCCTGAACAATTGCTGCTTTCTAGGCTCCTGAACTTGCTGGGGTTTTGGGGTTTTCTTTTTGTAGGGTGAGGATTTTCATGTAATTTCCAACTTGATCAGGTGGAAAATACTAACCCATCACTTTGCCTTCCTGGGCCTCACTTTGTAGCTTATGCTGTTCTTTTTTAGGCCTCTGTGCGATCATTTCCATATTTATTAACAGGGTCTTTTTATAGAACCGTGGAATCGTTTATGTAGGAAAAGACCTCTAAGATTATCAAGTACAGACATTTTTGCTTCTCATTATTCTATGAAAGAAACAGGTAACTCAAAAAAAAGCCCAAATCATTTTGTGTTTGCTGAAAGCACAAAGGACTGATAGTTCAGCAGCACTAAGCTGACACTTCTGAGCCCAAAAGTTGATCTAACATGCCCTGCAGTGCAGGGGCAACAAATCAGCAGAGGATAACTCTGCTCACAGCATTATTCCACCCCCTCCATTCTGTCCCAGCTCAGGGGCTCAATGAGCTTGATCAAGCTTGATCCCCCACCACAATATTCCATAGGATGCCTTCGTATGAGAAGCTGCAAAGCTCTGTAGCGTTTCTTTCTCATTATTCACTTTTTGCACACTGAATCTTCTCTGAAGTACAGAAAGTAGCACATGAACCTTAACTTCATTTTTGTAATATTACAAAGATAGATTTATACAGTGCAAGATGGCACACACAGAAGTGCTGCAGCCAGGCATGAATGGGAGTGGTCTTGATTCCCTTCCAAATTGCAAAGAGGTTAACGTTAAGTCCAGCACCCCAGCAGGAGAGAGACATTTGATCCTGCTTAGCCACCTCTTACAGCTTCATGGTACAAGGATCAATTCAACTTTTTCATTTTACATTTGAACTTCTTTCTGTAGCTCCAGCAAATTTCGTGGTATGCTCTGGTGCCAGTTATTTTCGCTCCAGGAAATGACAGTTAATAGAATCAAATGTCCTTTTACAAAACACGGTTCTAATTTGAAAACTTACAGCATATCTGTTACTCAAACAGCACAACCACTTCTTTCAGGGCCATATGTCCTGACAATCTATACAGGGAAGTAATTTAGACAAAAAGATAAAAGGAAGGGCTTTATTGGTGGTCAGTATTAGCAAGTTAGTGTCTTAAAAGGTTTCTTTCTGTGCAATTTAGCCTTCACCTGTACTTGGAGCCTTGTGGTGGCTGCTGCAGGAAGCCCTGAACATTTCCCTAGTTGCTGGAACCAGGGTGGACTCAGCAACAGGTAACTCAGGTACACAATACAGTGCAGTAGGTCACACCTTTCTGAGTCAATCTGGCAGGTAAAACACACCCTGGGATTCAAGGCAGCTGTAACTGAAGAGCCACTTGGAGCATAATCTCCACAGCTCCGTTTTTATGAATATTGGACACAAAAGGTTTGGTGAGATGACTCTCACATGCCCTATTTATCATGATGATTTCAGTTTGCAAGGTTTTGACAGCATCGTGTCTCCCACAGGAAGACTGGCCAGCAGTGCCAGTCCTCTTTGATTTTCAAAACTAATGACTTTGCCTCTTCTTTATAAGCCAAAACCTGCTTATGTACACGTTCATGAAGAATACCAAGTATTAAAAGCCTAAGTGCCATAACGTACCACCAAATCCATTTTGTCTAACTATGGGTGCCAAAAAGTTTCAGCTAGATGCCTTTTATTCCTGTTGAAAAGCTAACAGGTATAGAGAGAAAGTATTGTAAGGCTTCCAGAACCTCAAGATGACGAAAAAAAGAAAAAAAGGAAAATGACCTCCAAGACAGACAATATGTAGTTGCCACACAATACAATACAGTCCCATGGTACAAAGACACTGTTCCTACAACAGATTGGCAGAGACAGGGCACAGCATCCTTGAGAATTAGAAGAGATTCAGAAGTTTTAAGCAGATACATAAATTCCTCAGGAGCTTAGGGCCAGTCAGACTTCTTCTCACTGAGAGAAGAAAATTCTTCTCTCTGCAAGCTACTCCTCACCCACAGTCCCAGCATGGTATTACCAGTAATGAAAATAGCATTTTTCACAAATTTTGCTGTTCTCAGAGCTGTAGAGTCACAAACAGCTCTGGGAAACAGCAGAGGAGCTTTTTACCGCATAAACAGAATTTTTAACCAAGTTCCAATTACAGAACCAAAAACCTACCCACTTCCCTGTACCTGCCATCACATTAAATCTGATGATAACTGAGTTGAACAGATGTGTAAATCAGGGCAGAATCTGACCTGCCAGATCTCTGTTATTAGTAATATTATTCACGGCACAAAATTCAACGTGACTTTCAGACTCTGGTTGAAATCTGCATTTCTGCCCATTAAAGAAACAAAGCCTTTTTCCTTTAAGGCTGTCCAAATTTTGCATTGGAACAAATAGGAAAAGAATATATAGCACCTACATTTTCACCTAGTGCCATCAAATACAAGTACAAATATAGAAAATCTTGGAAGAGAGGAGAAATATCAACTAAGCCTGGGCATACAATGTGAACAAACACTGTTAAGGAAAAGATTTTCAGCAGCCCTTATAGGAGTCATTATTCAAAGATGGCATTTGCACACAAACAGCAGAAGTGGATATCGTGCACATCCCGGTTTTATTCACAATTAATGATGTTTTCTTATCTGGACAGAAAATGTTTAAATCACCCTTTCGGTGCTAGAAAGAAAATGTTATTCTTCTCAGAAACAGCAATTTAAACAATTTCTGGCATTTCAGAAATGTTACTTTATCACAGGATGTGTATGCCTTTCAAATTATCTGTTTTGCTGAACACTTGTGAACCAGTTTCTGATAAACAGTCAGGAAGGACCCAGGGGCACATCTGCTCTGGCTGCTCCTCGCTGCAGCAGGACAATGCACGTGTGCTGCCAAGCGACCACGGTAGGACTGGTGCCTCTGGGAGACAGAGCTATCTTACACTTCATTTTTTTTCCCCACTCAACAGACAAAATGTGCATGGTATGTATAAATATATAACAAAATTTATAAATATATATAGGTATATATATATATATATATATAAAAATACAGAGAAGACAAGCAATGCATTTTTAACACTCTCTCTACAGAAAAAGCCAAAATATATTCCTATTGTTGAAAAATGGAGTATCTTTTTTCCCCACCTGCACTGCTGGAGTTTGCCGGGTAGAGCTCCCACGCAGCCCTGTGGCACCTAACCTAGAAAGCAACTTTATCTCTCAGCAAGGAAACCCAAAATCAAGAACAACACTACCAAGCCTTTCCTGAAGTCTGTGAGCTCATTTCTGCTTTCCACCATTTTTTTTCCCTTCTTGAGCTCCTGAATATCAGATCATGTGTAGCAAACGACTCAGTTTAGAAATGGCAATGTCACACACACACATCAGACTCTTCGAAAGCAAATAATCACAAACTAATGGGATTTGCCTCCAAACTTTTCAGAGGGCCAAGGACATCCCTGCCTGAACCCAGCAACCTCTTGAGGAACATTTTGTCCTGTCACTGTTATTCCCCTTTTCTCCAGTCTCCAGACACACATCTCAGTCTGACTGCCAAGGACCTGGTACCCCAGGTGGACACAGCATTTCCCAGGGTGACCCTGTCACCTTTCCTCTGTGTTTTAGGAGGAGGATGCTAAGCACAAGGCTCCAGAGACCTGGAGGAGAGGAGATGGGGTACCTTGTGGAGCCACAGGTACCCATGCAACCCAAAAACCTGAAGGGCAGTAACAGAACGAGTGCAATGAATTTTCAACATGCCAGCAGGGTGTTCTCAGTATCCCTCATCCATTACACCTTCCTAGCTGTGCTCCAAAGCCAACACAGCAGGGACAGTCAGCAAATCCCATCACTCAGGTACTACTTACAGTGCCACAACAGGATAGAATAAATCCAACCAACCTACATGAGTCTTGTGCACTTGTCATTAATGTCAGTCACAGCTACATCAGTTATTTGCATAATTGAAACTACAGCAGGGACTGAAACCCCAAAGGAGATATGATCTGTGTCTCCCACCCATGCACTGAAAATTACACCATTCTATTTTAATTCCATTTATCTAAATCTCACATGGGACCTAGAGCAACCAATTTAAAGACCAAGAAGGTAAATAACTGCAGACTACAAAACTTGAAAAAAGTCTGTGAAAGGAAAATTTGCAAACGTTAAATCCAACTCAGTTGCTGGATTCCCTAAGTTCTTTTTTTTTTTTTTAACAATAGACACACAGAAAAATCAAAATCATTAACCATAGAGAATAGGTCTTCAGTACACAAGTCTTTAATCTGGTTGAATGAATGATTTTTATCTGAAGAGCTCTTACATGATTAATAAGTAATTACCATGCACTATTATCAATCTAAAATGTCTTATGACGTGGGGTATAGATCTATTAATGACTTAGTCCATTGTCTGTGAGTTTAAGTCCTTCTTTACAACTATTTTACATGAATTACTGTTCTAGGTTCCCTTCAATTAAGTTGGTCATTCCCAGAATTGTGTTTCTTTTTCTTCCTTTTAAATGTTTTATCTGGAGAAAATAGGCAGAACAGAAGCCCTCTAAAAGACTAAAAATCAAATTCAGATTAACTCATCCATTTGTTGTTTTGTTCTAACACATTAGTCACAGTGAAACTACAGTGTCAGGGAGATCTGAATGAAATAGAGCTAATAAATTGTCTGCTATTCTCTCCAATCCCTTAATTGTCAAGAAGACAGTTGTATTAAAATACACTACCCTTACCTGTTGGTTTGTTTGGGGGTTTTTTTTAAGAATGCTTCTTCTCATGCTGTGCATTTTATGAAATATCCATCTTCTTGCAGGTCTTCAAACGTAGGTTTTTTAGCACTGAAGAGGAAAGCCAAGAGTTGTGGTCAACATGTCACCTCCTGCAGTCCAGAAACTGTATTCTGCTGGCAAAGTGCTTACTCCTATTTTTTCACTTTTAAGTAACAACTATTTAAATTATTAATGGTATTTTTCTCTGGTACTTAAATCTAACTATTTTTATTCTCCAGTGCTTAAACATAACCACTTTTATTCTTGAGAATGGTGGAATTAGAAATGGGTGGATTCACCCTGTAAAAATCTTGCCTTTTAGTTCCCAAAAGCTTCAATAACTCCAGAGCTGAACTACAAATCATCATTTTAACAGACACCCTTAGTCACTTAACCTAGACATAGCAATTACTGCAGCAACTGTGACAAGGTAAGACTAGAAAATCAGTTCTTCAGTCACCTGTAAGGGAATTGAAAGATTTTTACTTGAGCTGTCACACTTGTGAATTTGCTTACCTTTCTGAGTTTTAGTGGCCAGCATTTCCTTATATGTTTTGTTTTCTTTCAATAATTTATGCATTCCTGAAAGCACCAAAAATATCACGGCCTCTGATCAAGTCAAATCATGTTGCACTCAACAAAATACGATTCAGAATTGTCACCAATTTCTGAAATATCTTTAATCTTTAATTTTCAATTTAAGATTAACATCAGAAAGAGAAGCTATTGAGAAAGAGTGCTACTAAGAAAATATCAACTGCTTGAAGACAGAGATTTATTAATGTCACATATAACTTTTAAAGCAAATCTCCAAAGTTAGATATGTAAGTAAGACACAGAAATGCTGGTCTCTGAAAAAGGAGAAAAATAACTTGCAAGCAAAGCAGAGATAAAGGGTTGATGATGTAGTGCAGACATCTGCCTGTGCAACAGCAGTATATTACCTTTAAATAATATATAGACACTGTGTAAATGCACTTTAGTTATTAGCATTTTACAGGAGACTTTTTTCCTATGGTTGAAATCAGTTGTCATTATGTGTTAACACAGTACTTTACAGAATTCTTTTAACGGATGTTTAAATGTGAACATACAACAGTTTTTGTCATACATAAATACATGAACTACAGAAAAATACTATTGTTTTTATTACATTCTAAGTAATTAATTTAAAGAAAGAAAAAAAGTGTTTTCTTTGACTTTTCCCAAAGCCTGCTCTGACCATTTCTACCTCATATATATAAACACAATTATGTTCCTGTTTGAAAGCAGACAGTTGAAAAAAATCTGTCAAATTTTAGAATTCAGGGACAAACCACACCACACTTACACAGTATGGTAGTTTACTATTTTGTTTCTTTCCCTGAAAGAAATTAATTACTTGGCACTAGACAGCAGAGTTAGGCCTTTTATTTATTTTGAGAACACTCCCAAATGGTCAAAGTCCCAGTTCACTGTAGGTAGTGCCCTGTTGAGTTAGTGCTCTGCTGTTAATTAGAAATGCTTCTACTTAAAACAAAGCAATTAGAAAGACATAAGGATGGACTAAGTGAAATCATATGGAGCCGTCCTCTCCAAACCTTGCTATCCAGTCCAACTGGGAAAGAAATCATACCAAAAATAGATTCTTTCATGAGAAATTTGCTCCTTTCTGCCTGCCAGAGGCATTGCTTTTACAAGACCTTTTTTTCTGTTATTTCAATAGTTCTTTAAAACATGAACGTAAATGTTGAGCTGAGGGAGCTAAAAAAACCAACTCAGATCATAAAAAAGCATTGTTTGGTTTACTCCAGATCACACACACTGGACTGTGGCATTTCCACCTTAGTATTCACACACCTCTGCATGTTTTGCCCAGGGCTGGATAGAACAGTTGAGCACATCACACACTCCTTTTCGGGAGGCATTAGATGGGGTCACTAGTGGGAGGCAAAGGAACACAGTTTTGCTCTCAACTCCTGGATTCAGCAAATAATCACATTATTCCATATACAGCTATCAAGAAATTCCAGCATCCATCACCTCACGTGTGCATTAACTTAATGAAATCCCTTCTAGCACTCCTGAGACCCAAAGCAAAAACAGACCCCAGAACATCCCACCTCACAGGATACAGCTCCGGAGGAAGATTCCCCACAACTAACCTCTTCCCCGGTTAAAATCACACATTTGAACATGAGCTCCTTTAATCAGTGCTCAAATTACAGCATTTTTCCTTAACAGCAGCTTGGAGGAAACGTATTGCTGCCCCCGCCACACCCAGCGTGAAGCAACTTGAACACCCAGCACACCACAAACGACAAACTACCAACCCACAGTCACTGCCAAAAAGACAAGTAACTAGAAAAATAATTCCTTGCCCAGAAGAAGTAGGAATGTTTCCTGTCTTTGAGAAGGTGGGAGAACAGTGCTGACCAGCTTATGGTGTGGATGGTTCAAAAAGGAAGGGGGAGAAAAAAAAAAGTAACGTGTAAACAATTAATGCATCTGTGGGAAAGTCTCGAGTAACTGGGTTGATCTGCCTTCTGGTTCTTAATTAGAACGTTCTGTTCAGTACACACTGTGTCCCCAGTAAGCAATGCCTCCAAAGCAAATTAAAAGCAGCGTAATAAATCTTGGGGTTTTTTTTCTCCAGACATACAAATCTCTTTCCTCACCAAATATATACATACATAGGGAGAGAGAGAGAAGTTTATAAAATAAAGTTGAAGGAGGAAAACAGAGCAACAGCCATCATGTTCATTTTTTATCTCTCTGAGAAATTAGCTTTGCAGGGCTGTAGAGCTGATGGCAGCCTGCACAAGGACACAGTTTGGTGAATAATTCAGGCACAGTAATTTTTAGATATATCTCATACCTTCAGCATTTTTCAGATCAGTTAACTCTACTTGTATGTCTGAGAAAAAAAAAACAGCAAAGTGTAAACTAATTTGTGCACAAGTTTGAATGTACGTCCATGAAAAAAATGTCTGTGGTAATAGATCTCTTTTCTCATGTCAATAATTCTATACAATTATAATGCATTTCACCACTAAAGATAAACTTTCTACCTACTAGTGTCTCATGTGTTTGGGTTTTTTTAGCATTTGAGTCAAGTGGGAGGCAGCTGTAACATCTGAGTGTTTTTTCTTACAAGTCATCAATGCAATAACAAGAGGTTTGGGCTTCTCAGCATTAGTATCCTTGTGCTTTTCAAAATGGCCACACTGTAAAAGATAGTGCTCACCCAGCAAGGGAGGAAAAATGATGCTGTATTAAGGCAGAATAGTTTACAAAAGCAATGAGAGACTTAAAGTGATACACAGCTTGTGTTTATAAAAATTCATAAGCATTTCAAGTGCACTCCTAAAGGAATCGTGTAGATGCTGCAACAAATTTTTATATAATATAATTAAACACAAAAACCTGGAATAGCAAAATAGCATTAAGGGACAAATTTTCATGGCTGTAGCAGTGGCAGATTGCAAGCAAGGATCCCATTAGAGGTAATGGGAACTGAAGTTATAATCCACTGTGCAGTGTCAAAAATAATATCCCTGTGGCTTTGGTTTAAACTGGCAGAGTTAAGGCAGCAACCTGATTTCTAAATCTCCCTACTGTGTGCAGACAGGAACCCTCACAACATCCCTCTTCTCCCCCTCAAACACATTTTAAAAAATAAGACACATTTAAACACAAAGGAAGGAGGGAGGATCAGGCATGTTATATATGACTGTGCATTTCCTTGTCTTTTGTTGGTTCAAATCAAGCTTTTACTTTATTTTAGCACGGCTAACAGCAAAGTGCTACCACGGAGAGTTCTGCTGCTTTTCACTCTGTAACCCTGGATAAATCACCTTTGGAGTGGTGTAGACAGGCTGTTAGCAAGGTGCTCCCTCTCTGAAATCATCCTTCCCCTCTTGCAGACACAAACTGTACCAGCCTGTGGGCAGTGCAAACCATCAGGCACCCCACAGTGCTATGGCTGGTAGCTGTATTTCTTACACGAAATATGCTCTCTGGGGTCATTTTGTACCCCTCAGGCTCTGGTGACAGAGAGGTAAAACAGGTTTTACTGTCATTTAACTTCTTTCAGAGTATTGTCAGCTTTAAACTGACAAAAGATGCCTTTAAACAGACTAGATGCCTACATGTAAATGCTGCAGCCCAGCTCCAATCCAAACCTGTGGGCTTGGACTGTCTCCCATCCTTCAGTTAGACCTGCCAACTCCAAAATGCTGGAATAGAAACAATGTACATGTGGAATCTGTACAAATGTGCGTGGGGTTTTCATTAGTTTTCATAATTTCTAAGTGTTTGGAGCAACATGTTTTCATAACTGCTGGAAAAAGGGCCTTACCCGCTCTGAGAGAGGAGCTGGGCTTTCACAGGTGGTCAGTAGGATGGACTGTGCTCTCTACAGGCTTGCACATGACACCAAAGAGTGGGGTGTTGGAAGGCAGGACAATCATTCACAGGGAACTCAACAAGCTGGAGGGAAAACCATCAAAAATTTCACAAAGTCCAAAAAAGACAGATGCAAAGCCCTGAATGTGGGCTGGACCAACCCTGTGAATCCCTTCAGGGTGAGGACTGTCTAGCTGGGCAGCAGCTCTGCGGAAAAAACCCTCAGGGTCCTGATGGATGAGTCTGTGACCCCTTCCTTGAACCTCCAGCCCAAATTTCTGCATCATTCTCTCTTCCTACACAGCAAATCTATTTTATACATATAATGCATTATCTGCTCTTCTTCTCCATTCAAACATGGCAGGGAATTAATCCCATTTTATGTCAAGGAAAACAGACACATGCAGACATCTGCAAACTTGTGTCTGGCTCAGCAGTAGCTCTGCTGGCACCAACCACACAGTGAATCAGTGGCAGAAGCAGAATTAGAAAACAAGAATTACTGGCTCCCAGTTCTACCTATTATCCATTCAACCACGATGATTTTACATGAAAACCTCATCTTGCCTGGAACTGCTTTCATGATGTGTTTTAACAGCACTGAGCACAACAGCTTTCTGGCCCACGACTGATAATTCTTGGCATTACTGTAATGCAGATTATGATAATTATTAATAATGTGCTGGGGTAGGAATAAATTATGTGAAATACATAAAATTATTCTGGTGCAAAGCAGTGATCTCTAACACAACAGAAAAAATAAGTCGTGGTAGAGTATGTGTGATAAAGCAATAATTGTCACACAAGTGATAATCACTAGGACAAAGGGGTTTTTAGGAAAGGTTTGCTTTCCCTGCACTTCTTCTTTTCTGACCGTCTTGACCAAAAAATTTAATAACTGAGGAATCATAATGAAAGTTCCTAAATCAATATTCAATAAAATTAATTAACTGTTTTCAGTGCAACGCATTTTTGGATTTGACGTCCTGTTCAAGCCACTTCTATGCTCCCCTATCACAAACTAATTGCAAACATCATTATGAATGTATCTAGGACAAAAAAAAAGGTTTTGAAGGCATTGTCCTGGACTCAGCCATTCTGTCATTTCTAAAATTTCACGGACCTTCTCGTCCAGCAGATTCAAAGGCTCACTGAAAACGCAGCTACATGTGACCTAGGCTCATCTCCCAGGGAGAATACCAGGAATCCACCAAACCTGTTAATTCTCTGTAGTGAAAGGGT